TACCAGCTGAGTTCGAAACTCTGCATCTTTTCTAATTTTATTATCTAATAATTCTAATTGAAATATTTCTTCACCCGATGATAATGGGAATTTCACATGTTGAAGCAAATCTGGTTTGGCGTTGAGGACTGGTGCTTCTTTACGAGAATGATCCTGATTAGAAAGTAATCGGAAAATCTTGTCCAAGCTCCGGCTTATTTTTGAATAATTATCCTTAATCTGTTGTTTGATCTCTGTTTTGAATGTAGTAAACTCATTATTCAGCATACAAAACTCAGTTTTAAGATTACTTATTTCATTTATAACCATATTTTCGCCGAGATTTTGTGCTGCAGTCTCTGGAAACAAGATACACATTACAATATGATGTTAACATACCAAATAAATTATTAACCTTTATTTAAAATATTAATGCCAAAGGTCCCATTATCGTCCGGCTCTAAAGCTATTGGGCTATATACCACTTCCTAATTTGTGAATTACTAGGTTGAAGAGGTAAGCTATATTCAGCATTTATATTATCAACAAACAAACGATTTCTATCTGTTAACTTTTGAGTACTATATTTATTTTTATTCGTTCGCCTTTTTGTACGCGCCTGCTCCAAGAACAACCTGAAAAGGAATGATAATAAACGCTTTGACTATGTTACTTGGACCTGCAAATCGTTGAAAATACGAACGTTTCCTCTGACTCTGTGTCAATGCACTGTGTTAGCTGTTTTTCAATTGCCAAAGCGTGTCCAAATGTAAGAGTTCCCGAGAATTTAAGGACAGAGGAGTACTCCACCCATCCCTCTTCAGGTACGCTAGCAGCATCCGATCTCAAGTTTCCCCTTGGGGAATGGCTCAAATGTTCTGGCCACAACAGATCTCCATTATTTTCCCATTGATGGGGAACAACAGAGAAATAAATTCCTTTTTTTCCCATGTTGAAACAATTTTAAAAAAATCCATGCCTTCGAATAAAAAAAGCGTTACTAAAATCAGTGTTTTAATCGGTATATTTTTTATCAATAAGTCTGTACTTACCCTTTTTTTGTTATTTTTAATCCACAATAGCGCGAGCACGTGCACACAAGTGAAGTAACATTTTTGTTAGACAAAGATAGAAGTTAGAGTTCCACATGGAACTATGAAGTGGCAGCGGAAACTTTAAACATGAAATTTATGGTAGTGACTACTTTGCTGCGACTTTAACGCGACGCTATAGTGCCATTCGCTACCTTGCAGTAAACATTTATTTAAAGCCACACATTTTCAGTTGCCGTCACCATAGCCAAGTATAAATTACTTCGACGTTTCCTTTTTGGTGAGGGCGACTTCAAAGTTATTTTTATGCTAAAATACGCCACTTTTCTAGACAAGTTTTACGCCTACATTAAATAAATTAAATAAAATACAATAATTTACCATATTTTATGCACCAATTTAATGAAATTAAAGCATAATAATTATTTCAAGTAGTAAAGGACAACAAACAAAGCTTTTTTACATCTACCATGCAATTTTATTGTATATTGTTATACATTTTCAAGACAATATTTTAATAAAATATGAAAATTTGAATGGCGCATCGTCAAATGTCGACCTATCACCATCATGTTTGACAATAAGTTTCCATGCGTTTTAGTTTTTGTACGCAGGCTATTCAAAAGGAAAAGATTATTATTGCCCTCATATTACACTATACTTTTAGGTTCTTAGAGAAAAACAAAGTTTTATTCATGTATGTATGCAATGAAACAAATACATATGTATAACAAAATAAATTGCAAGACAAAGCAATCAAATAAAATTAAAAGGAGAGGTGTCCTAAATGTTGCATCTACTACGTTGCGATATCGCTACTACGTAACCATAACGTCAATGGAACGTTTCCGCTTAGCGTATGGGAACGTCGCTTTAACGTAGCGGTTACCTAAAAATTATTCCCCATTTTGGAAGGTTCCTATTACGTGCCCATCACTAGTGGCAAGGCACTTTAAAGTTACAATAATAGTCGCATCTCCGTTCCAGCAACTATTTGTGCTAGTTGGGTTACTATAAGCACCTACCATTGATATGTTAACATACCAAATTTCAATTTTATGTAACTTATGGTTCCGCAGTTATGGCTGATTAAAAACTCTACGACTATGAGATGTGCCACACCCCCTCCAACAAAGTCATTTATATAAACCTTACTATAAGCATCTACCATAGATTTGTCTGCATACCAAATTTCAAGTTCATGTAACATATGGTTCCGAAGTTATAGCTGATTAAAAATTTGCAGCCCTATGGGAGGTGCCACGCCCTCTCGCAAAATTAACACGATATTTGCAACCAAAACCATGCCTATAACCTTCCCGGGGTAAAAGCAAATAAGTGTGCAAAGTTTCGTGCGGTTCCGGGTAGTAGTTCAAAAGTTATAAGATAATAAACAAACAGACATTCACATTTATATATATAGATTCCACGCTCAAAAATGTACTAAATCACAAAATTCTCTTATGAAACGCTAGTAAAATATATTATTTGAAAAACTTTTTCAAAACGTACATAAATTTTACAACAAAAGATTTTTTAATTCTAAGTTGATGGTCAATTTTGGTTACTTGATGTAAGGTGAACGGTTACACGGTTAACAATATAAACCCTCCACCTCCGAATTGTTAATACAGGAATAAATATGCGCCGATTGGTACCCTTCCTGACTATATTGGACGTTTTTTTTGCACGTTGTACCTTCAACTAGAGAATTACCGAGTTACTTTATGTACATACCAGCTGTACACACCAGCTGTGCACTAGGTAAACATTACACAAAAAATTATCAAAGGTGCAATAATGCCATAATGGCTTTATTTCACTTTCACAGTGAGAAATAAGACCATACGCAAAAATATGCCTTTATTTCTCAATGTAAAGTGAAATAAAGCCATATGGCATTATTTCCTTTGGCGGTGCACGGAATCGTCACAGCCACTTGGGCCAGTAACTTTGAAGTGGTAAATTAAAATGGCGATTACACTCTTCCGACGTTCACAAATCCATATTACGTAAGCGAGAATGTTGCCAGTTACATCGCCCGACTGCGATGTGCCAGGAATTCACGAAGTTTTCAGTTGGATAAGATGCTGAAATCGATCAAGCAACAGTCAGAAATATACACTAAGCAAAAGGGCATTGTTTTTCCGCTTCTTTGGCTGAATTGTCCTTGGAATTACGTTATTATTTTTGTATGCGTAAACACACGTCGTCATGGAAGAAAATCATGAAGCTGTATAAGAAAGATAAACCGATTTGACTTGCGCCTTTTTTTAAATCTCCTCGTCAAATAATGATGCTTTTTCTATACATTGGAATTCCTCGCACAGCTGGCCACCCAACTAATAAATTCTTTTACCGACCACAAAAGAGCCTCACTAGAAGCGGTGAAAGACGGTCCTAAGCGCAAAAGTGAAACGGGACGTAAGAGGTGTATTGTTTGCTAAAAAGAAGGGAAGGATCATCGAACAAACACATTCTGTGCCTCTTGCAAAAAATCATTTTGCTTTAAAATATGATCAAAATTGTTTTGAAATTTACCAGAAAAAATTATGTTGCAATGTATAAGCCAAAAAGTAAGAAAAAATATTTTTTTCCTAGTAAACCAACGCCTATGCAAAATTCTAATATGCCATTTATTTTTACCGCTGACGACCATAGAATTGAGATTAGGGGATCTCAGGTGTGGTCTAAGTGTGCTAACTTTTTTTGGTTTATTTTTTTAGAAAGAGGAAGGCTGCCCGCAACTTTTCCGAAGGTTCTGGATTTGTAGCTCCACCTAATACAGAAATATTGTAACAAGGAAATAGGAAAAAAAGTTTAGTTTTTCGAATTTAGGGCGGCCCGGCAGGTAAAGGGAGGAATCCACCCTTAAAAATAAGGTAATTTCTGAAAGCTGCATTAATTATCTACTAAAGAATTGGTTCAACAGTTTTTCCAGGAAAAATGTATATGCAAAGGGGACACCGGTGTCCTTTTGGTCGTCAAAGGGTTAGAGTTACCTGATGGCAGTCCGAATGAAAATTCCAAAGATTGATTTCGCGTGTTGTTCTATTCGTAATAATAGTTCTAAAATTAATTGAATTTAAGACTGAAAAGATGAAAATAAAATTATTGTTTAAAATCTAAAAACTTGCTTTTATTACAATGGGAACTAAAAAGTAAAAAATAATTTATAGAAATACAGATATCGCTTAAGAGGAATAGGAAATTCCCTAACTTGATTTAATTAAACTTTTAAAACCAACCTAAAAGAGTAATTGACAATAAAATTAATTTTGCCGGAAAACAAGGCGTGGGGTGCTTCATAAATTTTATAGTCCTGCTACTGACGATATTCAATATTACAAAACTGAAAGTGAAACATTTAAAACAATTGATATCAAGCACTCCACGTTTTGTTTTCCGGTAAAATTAATCTTATTGTCAATTACTTAAATACTATTTTAGGTTGGTTTAAAGAGTTTAATCAAATCAAGTTAGGGAACTTCCTATTCCTCTTAAACGAAATCTGTATTTCTATAAATTCTTTTTTACTTTTTTGTTCACATTGTAATTAAAGCGGGTTTTTAGTTTTCTAAACTATAATTTTATTCTTACAGGAGTTCACCTTGGTCTTGAAACCTTTTGTAAGTCATCTAAATCTCTGGTACAATTTTTCATCAATTTTCCTATTGGCCAGCACTTTAAGTTCTTCGCACTCTTTCTTTTTGTTACGGAAAATGTGTCTCGCTTCCCTCTTCAGTGCCGTGTTAAAAATTGTTCGTAAAATATGAACAGTTTTCAAATTTTTTATCCACCATTTTGTGTCTGTCATTTTAAATTTGAGCCATCACAGATCTTATATGAATTAAAAATTTTCGCTGAGCGAAATCTAAATTTTCACACATATTTACTTTTCATATCTTTATAATACGAGAAAGATAAAATTTTTTTGCAAGCTCGTTAAATTATTAATGAAATAATTACCTGTTGTGTTTCTTGCTTTATTTTTGATAAGAGCTGCGTTGCCGCTGTAGTTGTTGTGATGGCTGGTATTGTTAAAGCTTCATTAGGATTGCTGGACTTTGGCATCTCGATTGTTTCGACGTGCTTCACTCGGGCATGCGAGTGTAGGGTTTCGGATTCAACTTGGTGTAAGCCGCTGCCATTATGAACACCATCACCTCCAGCATTCATTTCGGAACTACTGGACATAACTTCAATTTAATTTGATGTAGTGTGTTTTATTAATTGATTAACTCGAAATAGCACAAGGATGTTAAGAAGTTTGCTAATTCATTGCTGTAGTGCAAAAAATGTTTGGAGGTTTGTGTAGATTTAGATGTTGAATAAAGTTAGGGTTCGTTGCTCTGGCCCAGTCTTGTGTTGCATCAATACCAGTGCCTCAATGAGTATTACCTGCAAATAAAAAACACAAAAATTATAATCTACAGAAAAGACTCAAGACATCCTAGAAGTTAAAAGTAAAACTAGCTAGAGTACGGCACTCTGACTGCAGTTGAGAATCAGGATGAAATACTTGTTAGTGCCGCATAAATTTCCAGACCTCTTCCCTATTGCACCAACGAATTATCATTAGCATTTTAACAAATTATCGAACTTGAGCAAAGTTTTGTGTTTCACCAACATGATAAGGAAGAGTCACTCAAATAAGTATTGATAAGTAAAATATAACTTAAATTCATTGATAAGCGTTGCACTAAAAATTGAAATGGCTAGCGAAAAGATTTTAGCGGATAAGTGATAAGCAGGGCCGAAAAGTTTAAGCTTTTGCTTGGAATTGCTTATTTTTCTTATTTTAACGAGCATGCATATTTTGCTTATTTCAAAGTATAAAGCTAAGTACGGACTATTTAAGGAAACGGTCAATTCATCAATTAATATTATTTCGTGAGTGAATAGTAGTGTCCAAGGAGTTTTGACATCTGATATTTTACAGCCTGCTGTTTCACTTTTTCCTTCCGAAGTAATGGAACGGTCATATATTTCTGTCGAAAACAACTTTTCAGGGCGACCGGCTAGATTGGACAAAAAAAAACGTCTAAAAACGGCTAAAATGTTTCAACCAGAATTAAATTTTTTTTAAATATGTACATAAACCACAATTAGAACGACTAGTAAATCCATTGAATTTTTTTTGGTTAATAAAGATTATTTATACGTAGCTAAGCTGTACACCACTTTATTTTTGTTTAACAAAGGAAACTGTCGTTATACGTAGCTAAGCTTTACATCAGAACTCATGTTTGTATTACTTACATATAAAAACAGAGATAAATTACAAACTTATGGCGTTTTCATTTCTACTAAACAATTTTGCCTTCTTATAAATATTGGATCATTTTCAGTAGGTTGCTTTTTGTCCCGCAAAATGGCTATATTAGCTGAAAGTATGGCACTTTTGCTTAGTCGGAGGGCAATATTTTGAGAAATGAACAGGTAAAGCTGTGAAAGCAGAAGGTAGTTTAATTTATTGACATTCGTTGTTGTTGCCGACCACTTCACTTTTAACAAGTTTACATTTAACTAAAATCATATGTATGTAATATATCAGCAAAAAATACAGCCGTGATAATTTTTTGTGTATCAAATAGATATTAGAACACACTTTCCACCATACAGTTTCGATTATTAAAAGCGGGAAAATGTGATTTTGTATTTCGAAACAGTATGGTGGAAAGTGTGTTCTAATATCTATTTGATACACAAAAAAATGATCACGGCTGTACTTTTTGCTGATATATTACATACATCTGTTCCATTTAGTTAAACAATATAAGAATATTGTAGTATGTACCACAAAAACGTATATTTTCTATAAAATATCATAACTCAGAAAAAAAATCTTCGCTATTAGAGATTTGGGTTGATTGTAGTTCAAAGTGTCTCTTTCCCGGTAAAAAAGTTTGAGAGAAAAAAAAATACACTTTTTGAGAAATTAAGTTTAAAAAAAATGTGCACTTTTTGTTTATTGTTAAATGAAAAATTTTAAATAATGATAATCAATAATTATATCATTCTATCTTGAAGTGACAATAATTACTGATATTTGAGTAAAAACATTGTTGGTATCTATTAAATTTTGACAAAGTTATGGGCATTTTAAAAAAACATTCTCACTGTCAATTCGAAAAGTCGATTTATGCCTGAAAAACAAAATCGCGTTTAATTCGGCCGAAAAATTTTTCCGAGGCAAAAGAAAAAATACGTGTCTCATTATTTGGACCAACAAACAATGTATTTAAGTTTGGTCGAAATTAAAAATCATGCTCGTACCTGACCGGTTGTCTGGAAATGGAAAGCATCATAACAAAAATTTTATGAAGGAAATTCCCGCTGCGTTCTCCCAAATATAAACTGGGACGCAAAATTGAAGCAAGTTTTGCCTATTTTTCATTAGTTTATTTAATATGTATTATTTTTTATGAATATGTTGCTCATTACTTAACAAACAAAATATACTACAAACAGATTTCACACTTAGTGTAAAAATTATGAAAATTCTGCAAAATTTCAGCAAAACTTGTAACTTCTTAATCTGCTAAAATGACGCGTCCCAGTTTATGTGTATTTTGGTCACTCGCTTAAAACAAAAAACATTGAAATCGGCTCACTTTCTGATTGTTTTTCAATTTTATATAACACAGTCTGACATGAAAATTTTCTCAGAGGTAAGACTAGCCATTTCTAATAGATTTTGGAGCACTAAATTTGTAAAAATAAAACCTTGTATATTTGAATTTTAATAAAATAAGGCGAAGAGAAAAATCGGCTAAAAACGGCTAATTTTTTGCAAAACGGCTAACAAATCGGCTGCCGGCTAAATCGAATTTTTCCCGGCTGTTTGCTGTCGCAACCGGCTAAATCTAGCCGGAAAACGGCTAAAATGGCAACGCTGGTACCTTGTACTCTTCACAAACAAACTTTAGCAAACCATAGTAGAAAGCGTAGAAAATTTCCTAAGAACTTCATACTGCTTAAGAAAATTTGGCTTAATAAATTTTTCTTGACCATTTCTTTGGCGTTTTTTTATTCTTCGAAATGTTTACAAATAATAACATAAAAACATATTTGGTTTTTATTAACCCTTAACTTCAATTGCATTTCTGCTTGGGTAAAAAAATTTTAAATTTGGTTTATCTCTACGGAAAGGCATTGGTGTTATTGAAAAGATTAAAAACAATTCATCTCAAGTGAAGAATAACGAATACTTAAAAAAGTTAAAATGAGATCTCTATTATTTGAGAATATCTGGCAACACTTGATTGTTCATTGTAATTTTCCAATCCTTGAAATAAACTAAATAAAAAACATTAAACTGTACGCTAAATTTTGTTGTTTTGCGAGCATATTTGCAAGCATATTTACCAATCTTTTAGTACTTATCTGAGCGCTTAAAATTGATTTTTTTCTTGCTTATTTTCTTCGGCCCTGATAATAAATGATTCTCTGTATTTATAGGCATATTTAATGAAAATCACGAATTTACTCCATGTCTCACTTTCAGCGCTTAAGACATTAATCAATTCTGCTGCTAATGCAGATTTTCCAAAAAATTTTATTCTATACTCTCTTAGTATTGTGCAGCGCGCCAAAAAGTGTGCTATATTTTCTAATTCTCCAGTATTACACATGGAGCAAGTTTTGTTTCCTTTACCGAACTTATTATTATTTAAAATTAGCAAATCACTCCCAGCTCTCATTATCCACATGCTTAAATCTATACCATATTTATACCTTTCATGAGCATGAAATAGTATTATAACTTTGGTCCGATGTTTGTAAGTACCAGAATAAGAAGACCCATTAAAATGTATAGTTAAATGATCAGAACGGCGATCTGAGTCGATTTAGCCATGTCCGTCTGTCTGTCTGTCTGTCCGTCTGTTTGTATGCAATCTAGTCTCTCAGTTTTCGAGATATCCAGATAAAATTTGGTAGGTGGGTGTATTTTTATAATGTATTAATCACTTTTCGGAACCGGAAGAATCGGACAACTATAACATATAGCTCCCATACAACCGATTGTTCAGATATGCGATTTTTCGTTATAACTCCCCCATTTATGCAGCTAAGAACATGAAATTTTGCAATACTTCCACCCATTATCAGCAGAATATGTACAGTGAAAATTACAAAGATCGGGTGACTATAACCTATAGCTCCCATACAACTGATTGTTCAGATATAAAATTTTTCGTTATAAGTCCTCCACTTACGTAGCTAGGAACATGAAATTTTACACTGTTGTTACTCACTATGGAAAGAATACTTACAGTGAAAATGGCGAAGATCGTGTCGCTATAACCTATAGCCTTCATAGAACTGATTGTTCAGATATGAGATTTTTTGTTATAACTCCTCCGCTTATGCAGCTAGGAACATTAAATTTAGCAATACTTCCACTCATTATCAACAGAACTCTTAGAGTGAAAATTAAAAAGATCAGGTCACTAGAACCTATAGCTCCCATACAACTGATTGTTCAGATATAAGATTTTTCGTTATAACTCCTCCATTTAAGTAGCTAGGAACATGCAATTTTACACGGTTATCACTCATTATCAAAAGAATACTTTCATACTGATTGTTCAGGTATTGGGTTTTACTGTAAAACTCTTTTATTTGGACAGATAAAACCGATAAATTTCGTAAGCTATTTTATAAATAATAATACAAAGTTTACTGAGAAAATCGTTAAAATCTATGCTGTATAAGCTTTATCTCTTGCACCACCGATTGTTCAGTTACCAGTTTTTGCGATCTGTTAAATTAAAATTTTCAGACGTTCATGAAAGGTGTGAGGCCTTCGGCATAGCCGAAGACAGCGCTGCTCTTACTTGTTTTTTAGATAAATCTGCCCTCTCTACTAGAGGTTTACGCCGACAGGCCTTGCGGCGGCGGCGTGGTCAACTTCAAAAAGAATCGGTGGCAGCGGCGACGCCGGCGCGTCTGGAAACGCCGGCGCTACTGTAGCTGTATTTTTTAATTTAGAATTCATACAACTTCCGAATGAGGGATTTCGCTGTAACATTCTACTTTGCGCCTCGGTCTGGCGCTGTTTGAGCTGTAGAACATCTCAACGAAGCTTTCCGCTTTACCTTTTGTACGAAAAACTGCGATCTCCGTACGGAAAATCTTCGGATCTCGCAAAAACGCACTGAGGACCTTCCGAGCACTGTTTCTATCACTTTGACCATGCTAACCCCCGCTCCCTGGTTTTCTCGTAACTGTCAGGCCTTA